TAATGTCTATTACTTAATTAATTAAATTTAAATTTAAGATTTTATATAAACAATATTTTCACCCAAATTTATGATTTTATTTTATTTATATTTTATTAAATAAAAAAAATAAATTATCAAATAAATTAAAAATTCAGGTCAAATGTTAAATCCCTTGCCATGTAAGCATGACATGGCAATATTTTGCCATCCAAGCAGCCGAGCGGGGTGTGTCCTTAACGGCAGTTAAGTCAAGCGAGCAGTCCCAAACGGCAGTTAAGTTGGCGTAAGAAGAAGGGCTTAATTGCTTTGATCCCCGAGTTCAAGGGCTTATATGCATCAATTACAGTGTAGGGGCTTAATAGCGATTCTGGGGTTGGTTCAGGGGCTTAACTTATGGTTTTGCCTTCATAGAAAAGATAAGGAAGTGATGGAGGGGCAGGATGAACCCGGAAGTCATTCTCCGATCCCGAGGTGAATAGCGGGAGGTGGACCCTCAAATCCACCCCCTCAGGCCTCCAGGCCTCAAATTTGTGAAAAGTACAGGCCAACCATCTTCACAGTATTTTTTTAAAAATGAGATTATATAAAATTATATAACCACACTAAACAAAAATTATACAAAATTTTAAAATTAGATATTAAAAATCTATATATATAAATAAATTTAATTAATTAATCTAATGAAAAAATAAAAAAATATATTTTTAGTGATTAAGAGATAAACAAATATATATAAAAAATTAAGCATAAAAAAATACAAAACTTGAACGTTGAAGAACTAAATTAACATTTAATTAATATTATAAATTTTTTTAACATTTATACCTAAAAATAAGAGTAAGATAAAAAATAAAAATTAAGAATATAATTATTTTTTCATTTCATGATCTCCTATGAAATTAATCAACTATCTTTAATGACTTTTCTTTATGCGTTAATTTATTAAAAATATTTTAATGTTTTTTTATTATCAATTATAATATTTGAAGTATCAAAAAAATTTCGATTTTTTTCAATCTTATAATAATCATATTATATATTAATAAGTTGTGCACTAAAAAATATTGTACATATCAATGATTTAAAAAGTACAATGATTATTTTTTTCGGATAAAAATAAAAAATTTTAAATTCAAATCAGATGAAATG